CCTGTTAAAAACAGTCTAGTTAAGTGTTCCAGTGCCAGGAAATAGCATGAGACAAAGCCTGGAGGTGAGACCTAAAAGACTTTCATCACGATGAACTGATGAACACAGAATGAGAACGTGGCGTGGAGGTGAGCTTGGAGCCTTAATATCCATGTTTATGAGTCACTTAAAGGCAGGAGACATGGGACTTCACAGTTTTCTGTGAGTCCCTAATCCTTGTATCCTACTTCATTCAGTTAGATCTTCTGCTACTTAGAACATTTTTCTTCAAGTAGTGAATAGTGTAATGTCAACATCCAAGAAAGTAAAACAAACAGTCACTTCTGCAACAGCTCATTAACAATTGGTAACGGAGAGGTTAATGTTCCATAGCTTAAAAAGGTATCAGTACAACTGGGGACTCTGTCAGTATAGGATGGGGTGCTATATCCATATTACCAATGGCAGTCATCCTAAGAAATCCAACGAGGCTCATTTACCCTCCTTCAGCGGGGAGATCCACTACACTTGCCATGTAGATTAGCTGTTATCACTGGAGACTTGGATCCCACCATCCTTCTGCACACAGTTGAGGTGGATCATACCTCTTGAGTAGGCTTCTCTGTAGGTGCTTGGTAGCTGGCTCGATGGGCCAGATCAAAAGCCTTTCATGTCACAGAAGTGGCCCCGATCCATGATCCCACAAGCACATAGACTCAGAGCCTACAGAGAAGATGACCCTGGAGATCTGGTTCCCTTTACTGTCCATCTATGATTCATCATACAAAGGTAAGCATATTCCACATTTCCTTTTTTGAAATAAGACTGCTGATTTTTAAAAAAGTGGTAATTACATATGTTGTACTGCAAACTGCAGAAGTTCAAGCTTAAAGAAAGACCTTTTACATCCTTCCCTCTTCCTTATATCTTAAAATTAAAGTCTAACATCAAACAGGGGGAGTCATTATTTATTTAATTTGTAAGGTAAGAAACTTATCTGCATGTGTAAGTTTTTGAAAAAGAAGGGAGAAGAAACAAACAACTACTTCCTGTAGACTATAAGCCTCTTGAGGTCAAAACCTGTCCTTCCATCTATGTTTCTACAAAAGCTACAGTTGGCACAACATCAAGATGCATGCCGTTGGAGGGAATCTATCTGTCTTCAGGCTTCGTGTACTGTCCAGAGGACTTTTTGAATGTAAAAGAAAACTAAGACTAGACTGAAAATCTGTCTTTAAGGTTTTTGAGACATGCCAAAAAGAAAGAAAGAAGCAAACAAAAACCACTAATGCTTTTAAAAGAAGAAGTCAAGGTGGGAGAAGGAGCTTACTACGTGAGTTCACATACTTAATCAAGCGAAGGGCTTTGTGTCAGGACGAACGTGAGGATGGATAAATAACCCTGGTGTCTGCAGCCTGAGCGAAGATGGGAGAAACAGGACTGTGGGCTTAAGATCAAAGGAAATGAGAACTGGGATGGCCTCTTTCCGGTTCCCCAGGGCTGTCTGTTCTTATCCTAAGGTTATAAAAGATTTTTTGAGACAAGCTGAATAAACCAGATCCTGTTCCTTCCTTGGGAAAACTTGTTTATACTGTAACTGTTTTTAGACCTCGTAAAAGTTGGTGAACTTCTTCCTCATTAGCTTAAATTTTTCCACACTCAGCAAATATCAACAGGCAAGGGTTTTAGTCAGTGATAACAATGAAAGCTGGGAGCTCACCTAGGGCCTTAATAAGCTGGCTGCACTGACAGAGGGAAAGACAGAGACACAATCTCCCGCTCATGTTTATAGAATAACAGGGTTGAAAGGATAGGGAACGATACTGAAATCTAGGTAAATTTATTCTGACAGTGACAACAGCATTGTCTCTGACACAACTCATACCCGGCTTAAGATTCATTTTGGAACTGTCAGAGCTTTCAAGCAGAAAATTATTCTCAGTGGCTGAAACTTGGTTAAACAAATTTCACTGTGCAAGGAAAAACAAAGTTAACTTTTGGAAGTGTTTTGGGGGAAGAAACCTTGGTCAAGAAACTAGAAAATAACTATGTCAGCTAGATAGGAAGTGCCATCCCCATGCCGGGGTCTCAGGAAAACACATGAGGTTCAGCAGCATGCAGGATGGGAGGGGGTGACCTAGACCCACGCTGGAGAATTGGCTCTGCATATTCTGAACAGGATGAAGAATCAGAGCCAGCAGTGGTGCCAACTGAAAAATGCTGGGTAGTTTGGACCAGTGACCCAAGCTGTGGCAACCTGAGCAACAAAATAAATAATGACAATACTGGATATCCATATAATAAAATCAATATCCAAAATCCCCTGCTGATATAAATACATAATTAGTAAACAAAGAACAGGGGATGGTGACAGAAGAGACAGATCTTTCTTAAAGTAGAATGCATATTAATAAATGTAGAAGAAACAAGAAAAATAGAAAATCTTCCTTAAGCAAGCATTATAGTAATAATTATTATAGGCATGAATTAGTCATAGATCGTCAAATTAGTGGGTAAATTATGAATAAGAAAGTTCTAAATAGGTATTTAGTACTTGCTAAATGTTGCTAAAATTTTAAATTTTGCTAAATTTTGCTTAAGTTTGCTAAACAGGTATATAGTATCTTTAGAAACAGGTCAAAGGGATGTATTACTTACAAATGGACAAATAGTATTTTTTACAGAGGAGAAACCAGCAGGTCCCACTTTAACCAAGACACCAAATTTAACATTAGTCATCAGACACATGGACATCTTACTCCCCCTGATATGACACACTGAAGACAGGCACACTATCGTGTCTGTGGTAATTTTGCCCAAAATATGTAATCTCAACAAATCATGAGAAAACATCAGTGAAACCCAAAGTGAGAGACAGTCTAAATAACTGTTTTAAACTTTTCACAAGTGTCAAGGTCATAAAAGACAAAAATAGACTGAGGAACTGTCACAAGGTCAAGGAGACTAAGGAGGCGTGCACATTAGATCAATGAGGGATCCTAGACTGGACCCTGTTTCAGAAAAGAACATTACTGGGGGCTTGGAAGTACAGATAGGTATATGGATTAATTAAGAACACTGAACCCAGGCTAATTTGCTGTTTTTGACAGCCATACTATGGTTTAGGTTAGATATTAACAACAGGCAAAGTTGAGTGAAGAGTATATAGAAACTCCACTAGTTTTGCAACTATTTTGTAAGTCTAAAATTATTACAAAACAAAAAGTTAAAAATGGAATGGAGGCCGGGCACGATGGCGCACGCCTGTAATCTCAGCACTTTGGGAGGTCAAGGCAGGCAGATCATGAGGTCAAAAGTTCGATGCCAGCCTGATCAACATGGTGAAACCCTATCTCTACTAAAAATACAAAAATTAGCTGGGTGTGGTGGTGCGTGTCTATAATCTCAGCTACTCAGGAGGCTGAGCCAGGAGAATCACTTGAACCCAGGAGGCGGAGGTTGCAGTGAGCCAACACTGAGCCACTGCATTCCAGCCTGGGTGACAGAATGAGACTCTGTCTTTAAAAAAAAAAAAAAAAAAAAAAGGAATGGAGTTAGTTTGGCTTCATTTGGCAGCCAACCAGGATGAATTTGGGTGCACAGATTTCTCAGGTGAGACCTAAGACCCTTTCTCACCTGAGAAATAAAGAAGGACATGAATAGAAACACACAGTGGACAGGAGACAGCAAAAGGCAGTTCTAGTTCAATGAAAGCTTGCGCTGGGCTGCTTTCATTGGACAAGCATGCCAGAATTCTGTTGCTTTATGTGTCATTCATCTGCCCTCCACGGTACTGAGAAGAGTTAGGAAAGGGTATAGTAATGTACACCTTAACTGTTCTTGCCTCCTGGACACTAGGGGACAATACTTCCTAGAACAATAGCCTCACCCTGGCACCCCAGATGTTTGTTGCTCATCCTATCTACAGGTTCACGGTCAATAGTAGTAACAGCCTCTAACAGTGAAAAAGACTCAGCATACAACCTGCAAAGAAGACATAGCAGAGGGCATCTGGGAGGCTATGACAGTGTGTTCAGGCAAAAATGATCCTTATAGAAAAACAAACAGTAGGTGGCTGAACTTGGGGAGAAAAAGAGCAAGCCAGCTAGACACCTTGGGCTTTTCAGGAGAAAAGTAGGCCTTCCAATCAGTCTTGCAGGCTTAAGCAGTGAAAGGACAGCTTTCCTCAATGATCTCTTCACTAGAATTTTCAAAACCTAAACAAATATCTCAAACAATGATTTTCTTTTGTTGCCCAATAAAATAATGTCATGTCCATAAAAGTAAATTTTAAATCAAATCCTTTTCCCAGACATAATTCTGAAAAACCTTAAAACACAAAATAAAAGAAATCAGATGCTTATCTGAATATCATCCTATGATCATTAGAAGTAATTCTTACACATTTTATTAGTATTCATCTCTTGCCAGATATTTAAATAATTGTGAAGAGATGTGTCAAGAGAAGAGTAATTATACAAAGCTTTATAAAAGGAGATACAAAGCTTTATGCTCTAAATGTGGCTTTCGGTTTAAAAACCTAGGCTGTTTAGCACAACCCCAAATAGTTCTGGGATGGTTGCATAATATCAGATCTCAAGTAGCTCTAAAAACTGCTTTGTAACCCCTGGAATAATGATCGAAGCAGATCTTTTTTTTTTTTTTTTTTTTTGAGACGGAATCTCGCTCTGTCTCTCAGGGTGGAGTGCAGTGGCCGGATCTCCACTTACTGCAAGCTCCGCCCCCCGGGTTCACGCCATTCTCCTGCCTCAGCCTCCCGAGTAGCTGGGACTACAGGCGCCCGCCACCGCGCCCGGCTAATTTTTTTTATTTTTATTTTTAGTAGAGACAGGGTTTCACAGCGTTAGCCAGGATGGTCTCGATCTCCTGACCTCGTGATCCGCCTGTCTCGGCCTCCCAAAGTGCTGGGATTAGAGGCGTGAGCCACCGCGCCCGGCCAACACATGATCTTATTTTGAAGACAAGTTTACCACTACACAGTGATGCTGGTCCATACCTACCTCCCACCGCATTACAGCGCGATGTCATTTCCCAGAGCACCAGAGCCATGGAGTAGACGTCGGTCTGCTTAAAGGACTCTACATTCTCCAAATTCATCCTGGATTCTAGGACTTCTGGAGCCATGTATCTTGCAGTTCCCACCTATAGCAAAAACAGACGGTGAGGCCCATCATTTAATTCCAGCTACATTTTTATTTTCACAATATAGCTGATAGTGGCTCCTGACATGTGCAAAGGATTTTTTTAAAAAAATCACAGGGCTGTTTTAAAGAATGAGAAATGCACAGAAAGGTACAGGTAGATGGTTATTTTTTAAAAGAGATGTTCTCTCCCTGAAAACCCTCTAAAGACTATAAACAAAGCATGCCAAAACAGGGAAGTGCCAAACCCCACAGCTGCCTCATCTAACCCCATGACTTGTGTCATCACATTTTTCAGTAACATCCTTACAGATAACCTGAGAGACAATATTTGTGATATTTTAAATGTTTATTTTTGCTTTTCAAAATTAAGTTTATTTTTTTATTCCTGAAGCTCCACGACTTATGGTAAAAATAATAATTGCTATCAGTTTTGATCACTTCAGGACTGAGTCTTAATCTTTATTTATCCCATGGCACATTCCAGTGTGCAAAGGATATAGTACCATTGCATATCATCTCTATTAAATTAAATTGTATAAAAGCATTTTCACAGAAAAAGACCAAATCTGGATTATTAATTTTCACGTGTGGGCCATATAGTTTTATTTTGACTTTTAGGCCTGTGCTAATCTCTATGACTAATAATATGCAAACGTGGGATCCATATGAAAAAGGAAAAAACAATTCCAGGGAATGGATCACTTAAATATTTAGTATTGTAGTATGTATAGACTGACCAAATAACAATAAAGTCCTGCCTTCCCAAGGATCTAGGGAAGCCGAGTGAGTTGATATTATCATTCCAAGGAATGTTTCTCATTGGCATGTATTAGAAACAATTTTTCTTCTCAAGAGGTCATTGCATGGCTCATTACTCTGGCACATTAGGCTGCCCATGTTTCGATGTTTACCTCAACACTGCGTGTGCTGCCATGGACACAGGGCTGACTGAGCAGTAACCAAATGCTTCAGAGTGTGTCCTGCCACCTGGCTAAAGAAGACAGTGCTGCTCTCCACAGACTCCACTGTGTGAAAACACTGGGCTTGTCATTTATAAGAGATGTTGTGGTGATTTCTAATCACCTTCCAATAGTTTCTTAGCCAAAAACATTTCCATTTTAATCTGTGAGAGTGCTTCAAGAGCAGAAGTGCTCACTCAGTTGACAAGTACTTATTTTACTTTCAGTGTTCAACGTATTGTGCTAGGAATCTTGGGTGACCATGTGGATGTAGATTTGGACTTCAGGGAGATCCATGACATTATTAATAGGCCTTCCACGACCCTATTAATACAAAGAATCATACAAAGAAACCAACACAACTACAGCTAATATAGAGTGAAAGGACTGAGTACAACCATAAGAGAGGGAAAAAATAGAGGTAAAGTACTAACAGTGCTTGAAAAAAAGAAAAAACCTTTGCTGGAAGAGAAATGAGAATTGATCCAGGAGGAAAAAATGTGCTGAACTGGGAGGGATTTGAAGACAGGAGGAGAAATGCTGTCCATTAGCAAAAATGCTCAGGCAGGAGAGAGCAGAGCACGCTCAAGGCAGACTCGGTACTTTGGCTAGATTCCCTAGACCAGCGTCCAGAGTATAGGGCTGTTTGAGATAAGAGCCAGGAGATACGGATCAAGAGGTAGGGTGAGGCCAGGCTCAAGGTAAAGGGGATCTAGCACTATCTCTAACTTACCTGCCCGCTGTTAGCCAGGTCATCCACAGACAGAGTAGGGTCCAGACGCAGGGAAAGCCCAAAGTCACACAGGCAGCAGGTCAGGTCGTTCTTCACGAGGATATTGGAGCTCTTGAGGTCCCTGTGCACGATGGGCATCTTGGGCCTCCCGCACGGAGTGTGATCACTGTGGAGGTGAGCAATGCCCCGGGCGAGGGAGCTGCCCAGTTTGCGCAGGTCCTCCCAGCTGATGACATGCCGCGTCAGGTACTCCTGCAGGTTGCCCTTGGCATGGAAGGCAGTGATCAGCCAGTACTGTTTCCCCAACTCCGTCTTGCGCTCCTCAGCTGTCAGGAACTGGAGTATGTTCTCATGCTTCAGGTTGATGTCTGAGAAGATGTCCTTCTCCGTCTTCCAAGAGGCATACTCCTCGTAGGGAAAGATCTTGACTGCCACTGTCTCAAACTGCTCTGAAGTGTTCTGCTTCAGCTTGGCCTTATAGACCTCAGCAAAGCGACCTTTCCCCACCAGGGTGTCCAGTTCAATGGGCAGCAGCTCTGTGTTGTGGTTGATGTTGTTGGCGCATGTGGAGCTGATGTCGGAGCGGTCGTCTTCCAGGATGATGGCACAGTGCTCGCTGAAGTCCATGAGCTTCCGTGGCTTGCCAGCTTCCCAGGATGAGCTCAGCTTCTGCTGCCGGTTAACGCGGTAGCAGTAGAAGATGATGATGACAGATATGGCAACTCCCAGTGGTGGCAGGAGGCTGATGCCTGTCACTTGAAATATGACTAGCAACAAGTCAGGATTGCTGGTGTTGTATTCTGATGGGGAAACAAAACAAGGAGAGAAGGAGGTGGATGTGGTAGGTATGTACTGTCAGGAAGCGGGTTCATGCCCGAGCATCTACAGATTTTAGCATCTGTATAGTTTTTGTAGATACTACATTGTTCATTTTTATTTCAGGGATGCCAATGCACACTTGTTCAGTCTTCCCTGCCTCTGGCCATCTATTTGACATCTCCTACTCTTCCTTCAAACTTCAGCTTACATGTCACTCCTTAAGAGAGACCTAGAAAAACTTGGAAATTTGTCTTATTTTATACATTTTCATTGCACCTTATACCTTTCCTAGGTAACAATTCAGTGCAACTTAAATTAAATGACCGATGACTCTACCTCTTGATTTCACATCTGTCTTTCCCCACTTTCCCCATCCCCCACAGACAGGGAACTCCATGCTGGCAGGGACCATGTCTTCTTCACTACAGTAAACTGCACGTAGCACACGGCAGATCCTCAATACTGCCAAATAAAAAGACAAAGCATTTATTGAGTGTTATCGAAGCTCAGAACATTGGGAACGTGGAAAAAAAAGACACAGCTTCTGCCTTCAAAAAATTTGCATGTATGATATCTGGTAAAAACACAGAGCATGCCACAGTTTCCACCAAAATCTTTGCTCTTTTTCAAGCTCCAACTTGTTCTGCTCTGATCAGCATTCAGGCTACCCTACACCTATGGGTGACAGGGAGAGGAGCCCGTGGAAAGGATCTCTTTGGACAGGTATCTTACACCACCCAACATTTCTCTTTTCAGTGTGCATGTAAACTGTAGTTTCATGGAACTGAAATATTTAATAGCAACGATGGAAACATTGCCACAAAGGTAAGATAAGTTAAAAATGGAAATGCTGCAGTTTTATGACTTGGAATTCTGAAGCAGGCCCCTGTGGGCTGATAAGGAGAGTCCTTAGCACCAGATATCTAACTATAATATCTGGTGCATCAAACTTTGGTTCATATGCTGGCCTTGTTGGCTCTGGTGAAACAGTTTTCCTCTTTGGAAGAAGGACATGAATAGAAACAGACAGTGGACAGGAGACAGCAAAAGGCAGCTCTAGTTCAATGGGAGCTTGTGCTGGGCTGTTTTCATTGGGCAAACATGCCAGAATTCTACTGCTTTATGTGTCATCTATCTGCCCTCCAAAGTACCCATTAATCAGCGGGCCTCATGCTCAGATCCTAGAATCATTCATTAAATATATCACTACTGAGTGTCTACGGTGGGCATGGCACTGCCCTCAAAGAGTACCCAATAGAGGACTTAGGGCATATATACAAATAAGGAATATATGGCATCAGGGTTAGGGGCTAAATGTACAATGTAATCTATATGTTAGTGGAATGTGGAAGAGTTTAGAGAAACATGGAAGGCACAGTAGCAAAAAATTGCCTTTAAGTTGGTCTCTGAAGAATGGGAAAAGTCAATGATGAGTGGAAAGAGTGCTATGTTCAGGAGAAAGAATATATGATCTATCTAAGGAAGAGCAATTCTCCCGTACTGACCACCCTGCACCTGGGGAACAGAAAGGAAAAAACGGGTAGGTGGTAGGGAAACAAACTCCATGTCAGAGAAGGATCTTTTAATTATTCAATTGTCAGTTTTCACCTACAGTAGGTGTTTGAAGAGGAAAAAAAAAAAAAGTGATGAGAATATAGTCCAGGTGGAATGAGGATATAACCAAATTCTCTCGAGGGGAACCCATTACCTAAATGGTATTGATAAAGGAGTTAAGAAGAAATTACTTGGGCAGATAGTAAGGGTATGGGAGTCTAAGGTAAGGCTTTTCGTTTTAATGAAAAGCAGCCCCAAATCTTTTGCTAACAAACAGCAGCCTGTAAAGTCCAGCTTCAGACACAGGCAAGCTGGGAGCTTGCACGGGTGAATGCCGGCAGGAACTAAGGACATGTTCAAGACGGTGGCTCCATCTTCCCTTCTCTGTCAGCCATGTGTACAGTAAAGAGCAGACAAGATGGTGCTGATCAACTGGAAAGTCCACTTGCATAAGATTAGGGTGGGGTGACCAGTCCTCCCCATGCACTATGTAAACGTCATACCTCATTGAACCAATCTGTGAGCCCTATGTAAATCAGACACCGCCTCCTCAAACCGGACTATAAAATCCAGCACATTCACCGCCAGCCCGTCGTTTCTGCTTGGAGAGTCCTTTCTCTATAGAGAGTTGTTTCTCCTTCTCTTCTCTTCTGCTTATTAAACTCCTCTCCTAAACTCGTGTGTGTTCATGTCCTAAATTTTCCTGGCTCACGATGATGAACCCCAGGTTATATACAGCATCTGATACTTTCGTGTTTGTTTTTTTTTCTCAAGATGGAGTCTTGCTCTGTCACCCAGGCTGGAGTGCAATGGTGCGATCTCTGCTCACTGCAACCTCACCTCCTGCCTCAGCCTCCCAAGTAGCTGGGATTACAGACGTGCACCATTATGCCCAGCTAATTTTTTTTTTTTTTTTGTATTTTTAGTAGAGACGGGGTTTCACCATGTTGGCCAGGCTGGTCTCGAACTCCTGACCTCATGATCCGCCCGCCTTGGCCTCCCAAAGTGCTGGGATTACAGGCGTGAGCCACTGCACCTGGCCCAGAATCTGATACTTTCATTTAACAAAACACAGTGAGAAATGGAGCTAGTATATATCAATTTTTAAGGTTTAATATGATTACTTGTTCTTAAGGTAAGTCTAAGTAGAAATGCCAACTTCCACTGACTGTATATTCTAAATGAAAATCTTGGGTCTAGTAACCAGAGAAGTAACCCCAATATATCAGAATTCCAGAAACCAAGAGAAAAAAAATTAACATTTTTTGGAAAGATACATGAATGCATTTAAAAAATATAGGGAAAGTGAGAAAATTTGGTGACTGACCCTTAAAAACATAAATTCTTACTCACACTGGGAGGCTTGGGTTGGGACAAAGAACAGGCAAGAGTAGGGCAGAAATGGGGTGGGACAAAGCAATTCCAGAACGATTCAAATGCAAAAGAAAAAAAGATGCTCTTGTGGGGATGTATGGACTGTCCCTGTTGTCCAGCAAAGTATAAACCTGGAGAACAAAATTAAGGGGGCAGATGAACTAATGTTTAACCACAACAGCCGATCCAGCAGTCGGCATTTCCACTTAGACTTACCACTTCCACAATGTTCCCTCCCTGAAACTCCACCTCTATTATCTGTGGTATCCAATGAATGTGTTTGCTTGAAGTACCCACTTGTCTCCATTCTCTGTGTCTGTAACTACATGGAATGTCTTATAATCATAAATCCACTTGATTATCTGATTGCTTCTCCCTGACAAAGCAGGGTAGTGGCCAGATCTATTTGGTCACCATGCTATACCCAGTACCCGGGGCAGAATGGGGCAATTTATGGTATTCAACAAACGTGTTTTAGAAACTGAATGATAACTTATGTGGAATGATATTTCTCAAATTTCTAATATTTTATAGCAAGGTTTGACAAACTATGGCTCAAGAGCCCATGGCCTGCTTTTGTATAGTCCTATGACCTAAGAATGATTTTCCCCGCATTTTTAAACAGTTGTTTAAAAAACAATAAAACTAAGAAGTTCGTGCAACAGAGATCTTATCTGGCCCAGAAAGTCTAAAATATTTACTGTCTGGCCCTTCACAGAAAAACTTTGCCGACCCCTGTTCTAGAGGTGTCACTTTAATAACCTCATTGGCAGAATCTCGAGAGACTTCGCTTTGGCCAAATGTGAATATGTAGTCAATTTTTTTTCACATATGAGAAAATGAAATTTGGAAAAATTTAAATATTAACTGCATCATTACTTAGCTATGTCCTTAATTCACTAAAATGTCCAAATGAAATGTTGATTCATCATGGCTAACTTTAATTTATAATTCCTAACTATCTATAAAAACAGTCTTCTTTGCTCATTTCAATTCCTTTTTAGCCTAAAGGAAACACAAAAACAGAAATCCCCTTAAGTGTATGTGCAGCACTGACTGAGGAAGATTCTAGAAATCCCCAGTTCAATGTCAGAAACCAAAGTTTTACTTTCTCCTAAAATTTCCTGTTATTTCTTTAGAAAACTTACACTTAAAAAACTTTGGCGGGAGGAGGAATTCTCGAATAACATCTGTCAATCTTGAAACTTCAAAGAGGTGGTGAAAAACTCTAACAATAGCAACCAAGGTTGGAAGGAAGCTTTGGGATGTGGCTTTATCTAAACAGAAGCCACCCACACCCTCTGGCAGTATTAACTCTTGGGTTGCTACTAGAAAACCCAACAGCTCTAGGTGTAGGTACAAGCCAGCATCTCCTTTACTCGGAGACCAACAGGAAATGTTTCTTTTCATCAGCCTCCAGTTACAGAGAAACTTGTATCTGAACACTTACTAAGTTCCTGGCTGTGTGCTAAGGATTTTATAAAATATTTAAATTTAATTGCCAGAAAAACCCTATGAGATAGAAACTGCTATTATTATAAACCCCATTTTACAGATAGGGAAGCTAAAGGTCAGACAGTTTAAGTAATTTTCCAAGATGATAAATTTAGGCCACAGCAAAGCTGGCATTTAAAATGAGCACTACCTGACTGGAGAGACTTCTGATCTCAACCCCATGCCTGATCTCTTAACTTCATATTGGTGACAGCCAACTAAGAATGATAATGACTTTAGGCTGGGTGTGGTGGCTCACGCCTGAAATCCTAGCACTTTGGCGGGAGGATCACTTGAGCCCAGGAGTTCGAGACCAGCCTGGGCAACATCGTGAGACTGTCTCTACACAAACTGGAAAAAAAAAAAAAAATTAGCCAGGCACTGTGGTGCTTCCTGTAGTCCCAGCTACTAGGGCAGCTGAGGCAGGAGGATTACTTTACTTGAGGCAGGATTTCAAGGCTGCAGCACACTAGGATCCTACCACTGCATTCCAGCCTGGGTAACAGAGCAAGACCCTGTGTGTGTGCGGGCGGGGGTGGGGGGTCCCAATATGATGAAG